TCTCTCTGTCAAATAAATTAAAAAAAAAAAAAAAAGAGTCACATGCTCCACAGACTAAGCCAGCCAGGTGCCCCAACCCTGACACAGTTTAATATTCATATGAACCCTCCAGAGCATGTCCTATTCTTTTCTCCACTCCTCTTGCTCTTGAAGAAACTAGGGACTGATCATTAATTAACTTGCCCGAGGTCGGCCAGCCCTAAGTGACAGGGGCTGTAGACTGCAGACTGTCAGCTCTACTCGGGCACCTCAGGACAGGCTGCATCTCACCAGCTGGGAGGGTCTGTCACGGCTCAGAGAGGGTGGGTGCCTGGTTTTTAAACACAATTTCAGTTTGTACTGAGCTTTGATTTCCCATTCGTACTCAAGGTTAATTTCTATTCGTACTCAAAGTTCTTCCTCTGGTTGTTACCCTCTACTCTGCATCTTTGTTTTCTTCATTACGTCCTGTACTAAATTTCTCTTTTTCATGCAGGGACACATTCTCTCTCTCTCTTTATTATTTTTCAACAGTTAGTATATTAGTCAGGGTTCTCCAGATAAACAGAACCAAAAGATTCTGTTATAAAGATTGTATATAAACATATATAAAATACATTTATATATAATATGTATATAGACATAAGGCATACATAATATGTATATATAATATATAAATACATTTATATATAATATGTATACATAATATATAAATGTATTTTTATATATATTTAAATATATATTTATTCTAGGAATCAGCTCTCTCTCAGGTTATGGAAGCCAGAAGTCCCACCACCAGCTCTCTGCCATCTGGAGCCCAGGAGGCTGCTGGTATAATTCAGCCCCAGTCCTCAGGCCCAAGAACCAGGCGCTATGATGTCCAGGGCCAGAGAGGATAGCTGTCTCAGCTCAAGAAGAGAGAGAGAGGGAATTGGGCCTCCTTCCCCTGTCTGTTCTATCCGGGCCCTCGGAGGATGGAGGATGCCCACCCAAATGGGGAAGGTGGACCTCTTCACTCAGTGACTGAATCAGATGCTAATCTTTCAGAAACCCGCTCACCGACTCACCAAGAAGTAATGTTTTCCCGGCTCTGGGGACATCTCTTAGTTCAGTCGGGCTGACCCCTAAATAGCCATCACAGTCAGAATGGTGTATCTCCCCCTAACGTCTGTCTTGTTTGCCTCTGACCTGAGCCAGGCTCTCAGCAAGGGAAGAGTGGAGAGCCTGGCATTGGGCGAGAGAGGACTCCTGAGTCTTCTGCCCCCTCCAGAGCAGGAACGGCTGACCAGGTCGGGTACCTGCTCCAGTGAAAAGGAGTCCTGTGAGTCCAGGCAATGATGTCACTGGAGAGCTGACACAGTTTCAGGGAAATTGAAAAACGAAAGCAAAAGAAAGCTCACACCTCTTCCATCTTGGGGACTTGGTGGGAAGAGGAGGGGGGAGAGGGCAGAAAAGCAGACGTTGTGAACTAGTCATTCCTTCCTGACCCTCCAACACGGACACAGGGGTCAAGATTCAGGCCATGGGTGCAGGGACATTCCCACGGGACGGATGTCCCTGATGCTCCGCGGCCCCCGAGCGCCACCTGGAGGATGAGCCACGTTTAGCATGCCTGGTGGCTTAGTGTGGCCAGGCAGAGAGGGCGGGTCCACCTTGCCCTGGGACTCCGCCCAGTTCCCCTCCGGTGTGCCCAGGGAGACAATGCCAGGAGGCCCCAGTGGGCCCGTCATGGTGGGAGGAGAGATCCCACCTGGGCCAGGCTGCGGGGGCAGGAGCGGGTGTCCTGACACTTCCACTGAACCCCTGGGACAAAGGGGACATCAAGATGACCAGAAGGGTCCCCCCAGGCCCCAGGGAGCAGAGAAGGGCTGGGCCCTGTAGCCTGGGGGCACAGACATCAGCTGGGCCTCCAGCAACCTGGTGAGCAAACCCCACATCCCCAGGGACCAGCAGGAGGCTGAGAGGTGGCTGCTCCCTCCACCTGGGACACCATCCTGGGAAAGAGCATGGAGACCAGCAAAAGATGCAGGAGTGTTTGCAACGACTGGGAGGGACTGTGTGTGTGCGTGTAAATGTGTGTGTGTGTGTGTGT